CAGACGTACCATGTCTGATGACATGTACTATGTACTTGTGACGCTACTACAATACAATACAATACAATACCCTTTATTGAACACTAAAAAAATACAACGTAACAAGAAACAAACAAAGAGAAAAACAAAAGGCGGTCTTATTGCTATGCAGCAATTTCTTCCAGACAACCTAAATAGGAAATAGAAATAAGTGAAAAGTTAAGTAATGGGTGGAGTGCACTTAAATAATATTGTAATCTATAAATATAAAAGAAATTTAATAAACATGCCGGAATTTACTTAATTGACAGACTAGTGATCATAAAACGACAGGAATAGATAAAAGGAGGGATGATTTAGAAGGAAAGATAATGTTTTTTAACTTGGTTTTTAAAGGAGTCTATTGTTTGAGCACGTTTTATAGTTGATGGTAAGGAATTCCAAAGCTTAACTCCAAGGACTGAAAAAGATAAGTTTGTGAGAGGAGCTGAGAAATTGTTCTTTAAGGTGGGGAGGATTTGATATACCTATTAAATAAAACGCACTAGAGGACAGAAAGGATATGAGTATTCCGACGAAGACGGATTGGAAGCCACTTGAGCTTAGTGCGGTACTACCCGTTGCTGATACAGATTTTTAAGTTTTACCGGGTTCAAGGTTTAAATTTTATAGCGTGACTAGTAAGCGCCAGTCGTAATTACTGGACCGAACACTTCATCTTGCAACATGAGAAGATAAAGCATCGTTACAATAACCGATAATAAATTTTATCGAATGCCAATAAAACCGAGTATGTTCACGCGATATGTTATGCCGACGATGATTTATTGAGTGTTATAGAAGCAGCAAGAAGTACATTATACGTAATCGCTCCTTTATTATAGCATATTTGTATGAGATCGGTCGGTGTCCATTAATACTTTATCAATACAAATTATATAACGCCTTCATTTTACTAGTAATCTTATTTTGTTAGTCTAATAAACATATTTGTCTTTTTCTTGCAATATCGATAAAAGCACGAGGTGTCCTTGTATTTGACAATAAAACTATTATTCTACTACTATTACTCCTGAGCGATTTTCAGCCACGTTGGTACCTTTCGAATAATATAAATCTATAATCAAGTAATATTTGATGATGATTCAGTTTAGATTTTTCATTATGCATTCCAAGTATTCATGTCATATATTCGTCTACTTTGTTTTATTTTACCGCGTTCAAAATTAAGATGAACAATGGCGACAGAAAAGGAAAATCCGATTATACAGTTTATGATCCCCAATCCCAGTCACCCAATCTTCAGTCTTCATGTGTTTTGGTACTCTACAGGTGCTTTTTTATATAGAATAAGGGTGACAAACGAGCACACACTTCTCATCGTGGTAAGTGGATTCTGTGGCCCATAGACATCTACATTTGTCCTCCGATTAAAAATCAAACCGCAGATGCGTTGTCACCCCTGAAGACTAAGATGGAATACCTCGTTTGCAATAAAAAAGGGTCTCCGGATCTCTACACTCACCATACGACACACACAGCAGCATAAAGCGCTGCTATTTTACGCTGTTATTCTGTGAGAGCGTGGTCCTTCCCCGGTCGATCCGACCCATTCGTGCCACAACCATAATATGGCTGCAGCGTAGCTCTACCACGTACAACTATGGAGCTCAGCCTGTACATTGCTGTACTATTCATGACCTAATAGATCACATCCAAAATATTTACTCGTCTACCATATCCACCAACATCTGATAGCCGCTGTAGCGTGACGCGTGCACGAGCGCAGCCAGTCCCGCAATGGCGGTTTGGTGCGGCGCGCGCATACTGCCGCTCGAGAGACGCGTCTTCTCCATCACTCTCGTGGTGCGTTGGAAATATGCAAATGGAATTGTATCTATGTGAAAATGAGGAAATTATTATGTTCATTCGCAAATAATTTTGTGATACTTTGCATAATGTGTTTGAAGTGATTTGAAATATGAGGTTTAAAGTTGACGTTATTTTATAAACTGCCAATAAGATTTCTTATGACGGCAATGTTCAGGTTTTCAAATATATACCTGCAATATGTTATCAGCAAAATTCTTTAACTCCTAGATATGTTTTTATATGCTATTTTTTATTGACGTTTTGCGTACAGGGATCAATCAACTATTCAAACTATCTTTTATAGATTCTATAAAGACCACATAGAGGTGACATTAAGAGAGATTCAAATAAAATATCCAAATAATATAGATTTAAAAATATTAATTTTTCAATAATGAATATAATTATAATTATTATTTAAATTGACTAAAGATGAAAAGGACTTAATTTCTTTTAGATTTAGGGCTACTTTTTACTGAGATTGAGGTGGATACAATCCTGAATTTATACCTCTAAGCAGAAGTGTAGTTATGCACTGTTATGATATGAATTAAAAGCAATTGAACTAGTATGGTTACTTGCTGTGAACCATGCTTTATTATTACGTAAATGTGGCATACTATAATATTTTCTTATTTGGCTTTATGTCTTATTTGGCTGCATTTGTCCGTGGGACTGCAGTAACCACATTATTAAAAATTGAAGAAAACAATAAACATCTTATAATAGAGTTTTGTATGTTCTTCGTTAGTACCTAGGTCGTTAGACCTGAGAAAGTTATTATCTTATCATCTTTTTTAACTGATGATTTATTTCATTCCATTACAGCGTTCATCATTTCATTCCAACAAAGTAAAGTTCAATTCATTACAGCGCGCAATTTTTGCATAATTATGGTTTATAAGTATAAGTCTTTGTACGCTTTTAATCTTCTATACATTAGGTCTTAGCACCAACTTTAGAATATGAAATTATTTTATTCTTTTAAGTTGTTAGCTGTACCAGCTTTTGTTTTTTATTATTAGTTTTTTCTTCCTTTTGAGTGGACCAAGGATTATTAATCTAAAAAATCGTCTCACTAGTTATACCTATAAAACTTCATCCAGGATTCCAGCTTAGGAGTAGAATTTTTCTCTAAATTTATACGGTACAACCTTTTGTTTTACAAACAAACAAAATTTTCAAAGTCGGTTTACAATTGACAAAGATATCACTTAAAATATATAAAAAATATGCTGTCGACTTGTGGACCTCCTCCTTTTTTTTAAATAGGTTAAAAAGTAAGTGTATCTAATAGACTTGTTTGAAATAGAAGCTACTGTATTGAATTTTAAGATATAGATAATTTAAAATAAAGTTAGTTTTACTCTTACATAACTAATAGTACAATCCTGGAGTAATAACAACAAAAGCTTATAATAGCTACTAGAAAAGGCTTTTTGTTGCGGTAGCTCAGAAGCTGGGGCTAACTTTAAGTTTTATAGAAGGTATATGTGTCGATGATTATAGTTACGATTCTCGCCTCAAATTAGGACATAATTGCGGTTCCGTACAATAGCGCATTATCATCACGTAAAATCCACGAAACATTTTCCATAATTCAGTAACTGGATTTTCTCACGCAAGCGCTTAAATACGACCAGATAGTGTTCTTTATTGACCGGCTGCCCTGCCGAAACGAATTGTCGATGGAATAAACCACAAATAATTAAGTTATCACCTTGAGTTTTGAGCGGCTTTAACTATTTTTTTGTTTTGACTCGTTTTTTATTCTCCGTTCCGATGCTAGGAACGCAGTATGTCGAGCACATTCCATTAATGTGTGACAAAATCGACCGGAACTAGTCCATCGTTTTTGTATAAAATTCAATGTTTTTGAAATAAGCGCCCGATTTTATGCTAGAAAATCGAACGGACAAACTCGTGAGAGATATTAAGGTAGAGGTCGTGAGGCACGTTCTTTCCCGCCTAAGATAGAAGAATGGTTATCGAGCTCAACTATTGTTTCAGTACTTCAATGTTTAAAAGTGCTTCCGGATAACCCAATTATAAAAAAAAATCGGAATGTGTTTTTAAAATGCTTAAACACGAAAAGCTATTTACAAATGCATATTATGTCGAACATTGAACTACCAATAAAATTAAACCTTATCTTAAATGACATTAAACTAAATTTTTTAAGCGACAGTAGCCTAATGGCAGGGCGCGGACCGCGAACTCAAAAAGATCGTGGGTTCGAATCCGCCATTCGACTACTGGCGTGAACCACTCGTAACACAAGCAATTTAAGCTTACCACGAGTGGTTAAGGGGAATATTAGTAATGTTTATAGCATTGAATATTCTTTAAAAAACGGGTAATCTTATGTTTTTATACAAAGGTTAGTCGTATCTTGGAATATATATACATATACACATTTCAGATAATTTATAAATTATTTAACTTCCGAACCGAATCCCGTCTAACCTTACTTTCCTATGGTCAATTGGTTCGGCAACACTGTTCCCAATATTGGCAGACTTATCTCTGTCCAATCGATTTACTGAAGCTCACGCCGCCGCCGGCTAACTGTTTCTCCAATCTCTGATATTTTTTTTCTATGAGGTCTGTATTTATTATTACTATTGTAATTAGTTAGTTTTTATTTTATTTTATTTCAACTTAAGTTTCTGTGCGGACATTCGCATTTATAATATTTACGAGTCTTATATATGTACATAATAAATAATATAATGTTTTGTGACGGCGTAAAAGAGTGCATTTTTATCCCTATTTCATCCCGTTAATGTCGTAAGTGTTCACAATAAAAATTCATAGATTCTGCAAGACTGTGTAACCATCTCGTTACGTAAATATAAAATACTCTGTGATCGTCAATCCGCCTACCAAGCGTGGCATATATGGCATCACTACCATTATCAGAGAGGCGTATGCCCGGATGAAGAAGATATATCTTAATGCTGATAGTCCTTCTTTGGAATCATTCTAAGTAAAGTGAATAGCGTTTTTTGTTATATGAAAAAAAATTACAGATTTGTTACATTCTAAAACTGGGTTTTATATCCAAAAATCAAAATCCCTTAATATATTATCTACTTTTGATTGAATAAAACGGAGTAAATATAATATAAAAATAAAACATCAAGAAAATGGGTGGAATGGTAAGAAAATGGGAGCGACCCCCCCCCCCCCCCAATTTATAAGAGACATTGTTTAATTGCGAAGGGCAATTCTCCGCAAGTTAGGAGAGATAAGATAATTTTTTTCTCTTATAAATTTTTACTTTTATTCACACTATTCTTTTATTATTTTGAAATTGAAAATCTACATTTTAAATTTTTAATACATTTAAAAATCCTAATGTATCCAATTGTTTTAATATGTTATTTTATGTTTTAATACAGTTGCTTTTTATAAATCAGGTTTATGTAATTTATTAGGACTTAGTAGGACTTAATAGTTGAATTATTTTGACAAAGATATAATAATAAAGGTTGTAAAATTGTAAGTGTGATTTTTTAATATAACTATTCACAGTTACAAGCATTCGTTGCTTTTTTTTAATTTTTAATAAATAATATAGAATCATGTATTTAATATATAGGTACCTTGAAATCGACAAAGCTTCTTTGAGTCGTATTAAGGTATATAACTAATCTATCAATCAAACTCATCTATCACTTGTAACCGGTGGCAATCTTAGGATTGGAACGCCCGCGTTGTATATGTAATACGCGTCTGCGATTTCACTGGTTTTTTCCACGATTCCCTTGCTGTATTGGGAGTGATTTTTTAATTGATATCGTTTCGTCGTCTTACTCACTTAATTAAACATCAACACCAATGCTATATATGCAGTGAATCCCTGAAATCTTTACCAGCATTTTACCGGAGATTAGCCGGAACAAGAACAATAATAAAAAAAATTAAAAATTGTTTTTCTGTTATAATTTTCGTATATAGTTTCATATGTATTTAGTAGGACGCTGTAATTTTGTCATTACAAACAGACACTTCGATGTTATTTATTTGTATAGATAAATTTATTTTTATGTCTTAAGTCTAGTTCTAAAGTTTTATAGTACAAAAGCGTTTTAGTAATATTAACTTTCCACAGTCCAATATTTCTATGAATAGCACATTTTAACACGAGATAGCTGCACTTTGAGGAACCGAGTATTTAATGGTGCAGCAGCCTAGTTTCAAAGCCGTTATAACATAAGTATAAAAATGTGTTATAGAGCGTTAATATTTTCCATATTTCAACTACATTGGAACCGTGTTCAATTACCTTGTGTGCCATATTTTCTTTGCTGATTCTCCTGCCGTTCTGTTAATAATATTCCAACTTTTTGTTCACGATTACTTAATTATAACAAAGAAATGTTTTGTACGTTAACATTTTGTTGCCAAATATTAAAAAGAGCTTATGTCCCCACTTAAATATATTTAAACTCTTTAACTCTTTCACTCTTATGATAAAAAATATACAGATTTTGCACAAAAAATATAATAGTGTAATTTTAGGTCAAATTGTATAACATACTGCATTTCCTGTATATACCAATTTTAAAAATACTTCCGTATTATGTTCTAAAACCATTAAAAATAAAAATTTATTATTGCATTTAATTTCAAGGGGATATTTTTCTTATATTTTAATAATACTCGTAAATAATGTTATCTTAATAGGTTGGCATTATATTATACTCTTTTGTATTAGAACAGGTTAAAATTGCATACAAGTGTTGAAGACATTATTCAAAATTTCCATATAATTTTCTTTTTATTACATAGAGCGTATTGTAAATAAGCATTTAAAGCTTTAGTCTCAATATTTTAAAGAATAAGGGTGATACACGAGCAGATAGTCCATTGGATGATAAGTGGAAGATTTGGAGCATAGATATAAAACCTCGTTTAAGAATCAAAATTCAAAATGCGTTGTCGCCCCTAAGAAATAAGATGGAATGGTTCTCTACACTTGCCATACGAAACAAAGCAGCATAAACCTACTATTTTATGCTAGTAATTTTTTTTCTCCGGTTGAACCGACTCATTCGTGCTACAACTATAGTATAGCTGCAGCTACTTTGCCGGCTTTACCACGCAAAGGAAAAACTAATTAAATATAAATTTTTACTATCCTTTTCTTTCTTTTTGTTTAGACAAAAAGATAGATTAATTGATGTTTTCATCATATTACTCTGTATAATGTGAACAAATATTAATGGCCTCTCGTAAAATCGATAACCAAGCACTATTTCCCAAAAATTTAGCTTCAAATGTTATTATCAAGATGATATTAATTAGTGTAATTATTTTAATCGGAACTTAATTATAGGCATAAGGCATTCTGTCTCAGTTCAGAATATCTACATATCCATATCCAGTTTGTATTGTCTACACATATTCATGAGCTGCAGTCGCTACTTGCCAGTAGCAAGTACCACGTAATCGCCTTTTGCAACTTTAATGTCATAAAATACATCGTTTCCTCATTAAAAGTCTAATATGTATGAAATGAAAATCTTTAGCACGTGACTGCAATGTAGTACAATTTAAGAATTCCTTATTATGTTGTGTAATTATACCATTGGAGCTGTAAAATCAAGAGCACACTTTATTGTATGGAAACTATTGAAAAAACCCCTCTTCACTTCGTGCGTGATTCAGTCGGTGTTCATCGAAAGGTTGAACGTTCTGCGTGGCGCCACCATTTGCTTTCATCATTATATATAAATCAATGGTTTTCATGGCATTAGTTATGCACAGCCTATTAAAGCACCGCCAATTGCGTCTATTCTTATTGTTTATTTGATTACCAGGAAACCAACCCTATGGTCGAACGGCATCCACCTGTTTTGCTTTATTTTGGATCGTTGGGAAAACTTTTGAATACTTTCGTTTAAAAAAACTTAATTGGTATTTGTCGCATATAAAACTTAACAATTTGCATTACACCTATATAAAATCCATTAAAATTAAAAGTAAATATTAAAACTGATAAAATGTATGTTAAGAGTTCGATGTATTATTTTCTCCTAAATTATAAGTCGGACTTCGCTTTGTCTGCGAATTTAGTATTAGATGCTAAAATTTGTGATCACCTCGTTGTCTGTGTGTTCTGACTCTGTCACAAACGTTTCTTCTCGGAGACTTGATGGTTCGTAAAATATTTTATAGTGTTAATATGAAATATATTAATAACTCGACTTCACCGCCACCTATCATCGCCAAATTTTGTGATTTTCTTTTTTGCCACAACTCCAAGATATTATATTGTGAATACGAGTAATTTGATCCATAAATATATAATTTGTTAATAACTTGACTACAGCGCCACTAATCAGATCCCAATGTGATTAAGTACCATTGTCTCAACAAAACGAATACATTTTGCGAATATGACCTGAATTATTCAGATCCTTCAAAAGTAATTCGATCACTCACTATTGATTCTTTCATATTAGCTCTATATATTACACACAGTCTCCAACTTCCTGCTTCTATGAAGACAATTAAGCACCTCTGCATTAGCAGGCTTGAAAATCACTGTTATTACTTGTTACTTGTTTGAAACAAGTAGTAACTTTGTTTGATTCTGGTGCCGATATCTCTCTTTATTAATGTTTGTACTATTTGTCAATGTTATTTGGTTAAATTTAACTTTAACAAACCTCTATTCCTATATTTGTGTGATTTAGTTTCGAAATTTTAGATTGGATGTATTCACAGTGTTTCTTCTTAAACAGTCATACGGTGGTCAGGGTTTCATTTGTGAATATTTTGTTACAAAATATGTAACACAAAAAAGCCTGTAACCGCGATGGCTAGGATACGGAAAGATACAACAATGAATAATAATTATTACACAAAGCAGTACGGGAACATACAGCGGACTTAATGCTAAAATTATTCATTTGACGACTCTGCGGCGTAGTGGCTTAACATTGAACTGCGGCGTTTGGGATCGCGGGTTCGAATCCCGCACGGAACAAGTATTTGTATGGCCTACAAATTATTGTTCCGGGTCTAGATGTTCGTCCTTGTGCAATTTATGTTTGTAAACTGCCTCCACGATACAGCGGAAAATCCTAGTGTGGGGGTAACGTTTTTAAAAATTCAAAAATTCTCTGCCACGCAACCTTAGGCCAGAGATAATACTACCTTCTATATTACACAAATATATAAATGCATATAATATATGGCACTATAATACAAAATACATACTATACTGATTAAATTAATATAGAGATAACTATAATAATGACGTAGCTTAGCAGATTTGAACCATTTTTACAAAATGTATGTTATTGTGTAAGGGCGGTGTAAGAATATCTACTACCCCATATCGACCCGTGAGTGTCTTGAGCTACAGAGGGAAACTAAAACGGAAGATAGGCAGCAGCATCTTCCTGATAAAAAAATTGCGGTTGCCAAACCTCTTACCCTTTAGCGTAGCAACTATGGCAAAATCCCCCCTATGAGGTATGCCTATCTTCATCAGTAGACTTTTATAAGCTGTAATGTGTTGAATGGAAATACTGTATAATTACTAATTTTACACAAAAAAAAATGTTGTTTTCTTTTATGTTATCTTTTATACTCACCCTTTGGTAAAGGCAAAAACTTTCATTTCTGTTGAATTTTAGTAAGAAGAAATAATTAACATTTAACAAGCTCCCTTAACAAGCTTAGAACAATCTCAAACTTATATCAAGGCATTTACACAGATCCTTTACATTAAACTTGTGAAAGAAAGCTTTACAATGGGTAATTTAGAAATAAGATTATTTTATGAGAAAAGTTCATGTTTATCCTTAATCTCATTTTCTTTGAGTGAACACTCCATTTAGAAGTATTAAGTTTTAATATGTGTAAGATTTGATAAAGAATAAGATCAAATAAGAACTTACAATTGTTTTTTGACGTTTATTTTTGGGGTAAATCCACACAAATCTAAATAGTAAGGCAATATTATTTAGATTTCTGTGGGTAAATCCTTCGATTAACAACGAAGGGTAAATCCCTCAAAATATATATTAATTATAAAAACCAGTGTGGTGTCTAATTATAGTACTTCATCATCATCATCATTATAATATGCGAATAATATTGTCTACTGGCTACTACTGGCTACTGTCGCTGCATAATAAATATGCGAAGCGACAGTAGCCTAAAGGCAGGGCGCGGACCGCGAACTCAAAAAGGTCGTGGGTTCGAATCCGCCATTCGACTACAGGCGTGAACCTTTCTTAACACAAGCAATTTAAGCTTACCACGAGTGGTTAAGGGGAATATTAGTACTTAATGTTTATAGCATTGTTAATGTTCTTTAAAAAAAATTACAGCCCTTCACAAGTCCACTGCTGAACATATTCCTAAGGAATGCCAAAAAGCACGATATTAAAGCACTTAGCAATATATTAATCATGTCTGAGTGAGTGGGTCGAAACACTAGCACAGGGTCAGGGTATCCTAGCAAAGGTTCCGCTCTCTCACAATGGTCAACTGTAACTATAGTTATTAGTTATATTATAGAAATAAGACAGTAAACTAAGCATGCTTTTAATTAAATGTACCATAATGACTGTAAATAAACGATTATTATCATAACAGTATTCATTATCCCAACTTGAATCGTTGGTGTCGTAAATATTAAGGTGAAGATGGCCAAAATGGCGGAAAATGACCAACGCGAAATCATCAAACTTGCTGAGTGTAGCTTCTAAAATGCGTGACCGAGCAAATAAGACATCACAAATACTTTTTCTGATTGTTGCAATTAGTTGCAAGTTCAAGAGAGGTGGACTACTATAGACATGTGAAAAAGTTTAATAAATAATATAATTGATTTAATTGTTTTCAGAATTCTTTCTAAGAATTCAAAATTGACTATAATATCACCATGAACAAAATATAGTGTTTGACTTCGCACGCTTTGCTTATTGATTTTTTTTTAATTTTCAGATAGACCCAAACACAGCGTTTCTACGCGCCGCGCGCGCCGGTCAGCTCGACACAGTCGTCGACTTACTCGACTCTGGAGCCGTCAAGGATATCAACACTTGTAACTCGGTATGTAATATTTTTCATCATTACCATTTCATCCCATCCAAATGTTATCTCCCTATCTCCTTCCATAGATTACCACAAAGCACTTGCATGTTAATATAGTTTTCACTTCATATAGTGGAGGGGTCGCAAATCATTGCGCTTGCTTGTACTGTAGGAGGCCGCCACTGACATTTATACTGTGATAGTACTACTTATCCTGTGCTAAATAGTTCTAGTACCCAATTTTATATGTATCTGTTAGGTAAATTGGGTATTTTCGATTTAATCAATCAAATAAAGCTTATTTGAATAACTGTTAATATTATTTCACTGGCAGCGAAGCATCCTACTAGTGGACTGAGTATTAAAATATTTTAAACTTAGGTGAGCTAATTTCAAAATAAACTTTTATATATAAACACAAATTTATGGACTGAAATGTCATGTTTCATCAGGTTTAAATTTTGAAACCCCTTAATTAGGCAAACTTTGAAATTTAGCACGTACTTTCCACGTTTATTGACTGCGCTACCGAAAGTATAATAATTATATAATTATTACGTATCCCAATGCTATTTTTGAATTCGCATTTTTCCACCCAATTCCATTATATCGTAACTAAAGGAAAAATTAAACAGAGGATATAGTCAACTGCAGCATCCCATCGTCATTCCCGTACGAAAGCATCATTCCTCTGTGATTGATGCTTTCTTTGAATTTTATAAGTTGCTCTTATATACCATAATTATGCTTGATAGTGACGTGTGATAGTGACGTGTGAAAAACACTGCCTCATAATGATGTGTTCGCCAATTTGGTCACACCTTTCTTTAAACATTTTCATCAAATTATTTTTCGTCAGCCCGTCACAGTCCCACTGCTCAACGTGGCATTTCCTGTAGTGGGAAAATTCGCCATAATCTTCACGCGTAGCAGGCTAATTTAGGATAGCAGTACCAGACGTCGCACCTTTGAAGCTACTGCCCGTCCGGTACAAGTATTTTACGTTTTGTGTAAAATTTATGAAAACGAGATGGCTATGGATACCGTCATCTAACAAAAGCTATAAAATTTTATTGACTTTTCCCATAGCCTCATTCAACAAAACTCACGGACGAAATAGAGCCACCACACGGCATCCTTCCTAACTGTGTTCTGTCGTGGGACGCTTCTATTGACTGTTACTTGTAATATTATAGTAATAGTTGTAATTAATTTACACATTTATTTTGTAACACATTTGTATTTTTTTAACTTCCTACTAAGAAAATTGAAAATTTTCATAAATCAATTATTTTTTTTCTTTTATACTGATTACCAATTTTTCGATGGTGTCTGTATGTCTGTATGTGTGCGCGTGCGCGTGTGCGCGCGCGCGCGTGCGCGCGCGCGTGCGTGCGTGCGTGCGTGCGTGCGTGCGTGTGTGTGTGCGTGTGTGCGTGCGTGCGTGCGTGCGTGTGTGTGTGCGTGCGTGCGTGCGTGCGTGTGTGCGTGGTGCGTGCGTGCGTGTGTGTGTGGTGTGTGTGTGTGTGTGTGTGTGCGTGTGTGTGTGGTGTGTGTGTGCGTGTGTGTGTGTGTGTGTGTGTGTGTGTGTGTGTGTGTGTGTGTGTGTGTGTGTGTGTGTGTGTGTGTGTGTGTGTGTGTGTGTGTGTGTGTGCGTGTGTGTGTGTGTGTGTGTGTGTGCGTGTGTGCGTGCGTGCGTGCGTGCGTGCGTGCGTGCGTGCGTGCGTGCGTGCGTGCGTGCGTGCGTGCGTGCGTGCGTGGTGTGCGTGCGTGCGTGCGTGCGTGCGTGCGTGCGTGCGTGCGTGCGTGCGTGCGTGCGTGCGTGCGTGCGTGCGTGCGTGCGTGCGTGCGTGCGTGCGGTGTGTGTGTGTGGATGTATGTAAACCTCTTATAATTTTTGAACGACTTGACCGATTGAAATGAACTATGCGGGTTTCCAGTGTTTTATCAACTTGATTTTCTATGAATTTTAACTAATTCGGACTGGTAGATTTTGAGAAATCTCAGAAATAAAAAATTAGAAAAACGGTTTTTTGGAATAACTTTTAAACGGCTTTGCCGATCGATTCTAAAAACTAATCAGCTTCTAAACTTGAAAAACCACGTTGATCGTTGCCGGTCCGGTCAAAATCGGTTGATTCGTTCTTGATTTTTTTTTTGATATTTCATATTCAACGTCATAATTTGGTGAAATTTGCAATTGAAATTAGCGGGAAGTTCCAGAGATGTCCTGCAGGGTCAACCAATTTTTTAATATTATTAGGGTGGCAAACGTGCACACTGTCCACCTGATGGTAAGTGGTTGCTGTGGCCCATAGACGTTTACATCTATTCTCGATTACGAATCAAAATGCACATGCGTTGTCACCCGTAAGGACTGTCTCGAAGATCGAGAATGCCTCGTTTCCAGTACAAAGGGTCTCCGGTTCTCTACAGTCACCATACGAAACACAACAGCATTAAGCTGCTATTTTACGCTGGTATGCTGTGAGAACGTGGTCCTTCCTCGGTCGAGTCGACCCATTCATACTACAACTTTACTACTAATATGGCTGCAGCATGGCTCTACCACGTATGATACGTTGTATATTTTAGGAAATGTAGTCTCAGATGCAATATTTACGTGCAATTGTATTATAAACGTCTTCACAGTGTTAATTATAAAACATTTTATTAGTCGTGCGACCAATTTTCGCTGATGTGAGTGTGAGCATGTTTTGAATTCATCTTGTAATCTTCTGTAAATTATGCGGGTGCGGCTAACTCCGGCATATTATTGCTCTGCCAGGAATGGCTCGGCTAGACCAGGGATGGACAACGTTTTACGAAGAATACGAATACCAGCGACTATATTAAACGAGGATAAACGTTTAGTATCAGCATGACTATACTTTATGTAGGTTACAAACAAGTGTAGTCTACCTGAGTCATGCAGAACAATTATTTGCTGGTCATACGATCACTTGTTCCGTGTGGAATTCGAACCACGTACATTGTATTATTCTTTTTTCCTGTCAAAGTACATATGAACATTCCACAGACATTCCGTTTGAAAACTGTAATAATGCATCGCACGCGATAGTTGTTCTAACTGTACTTGCTTTTAAGAACTATTGTCCGTCCATTTGTTCCACACATGTGTGTGGGAATATGTACAATAACGCAGTTATCAGACTAAAACCAGGCTTACTGTGACAGATACCTTGTCGTACTAAATTTTATGTTTTACGTTGATCGACTAAAACTTGATTTTGATAGCTTTTACTTTTTTATAAACTCTTCAGAAAACGACTTCAGATAGTAAAATTGTTTTATTCTTTTAAGTCAATTGAAGTCAGATTTTACTTTTTATTTAAAGTTTAACTTGACTTCTTACACTTGAAAACTTAATTCTCTATTTTACCATCCTTAGGGGTGATTTTTTCCAAATGTATAGGAGCACTGTAGTATAGGCTATTTAATAAATAATAATCATTAAAATATGTTTACAATGAGGGCTAATAATAGTACGCTCACCAGTTGTCGCTAGTCGGGTCCAAGATCAACCTATCTGTTACGCAGATGTTCCTCATTGAAAAGTTGCGATTTAAATATAAGTTTTTCAGTTTCGAGTATTTATAATTGTATCCTTCAATTTTTTTCGCGTTTTTTAACTTCTACTTTTAGGAATATCCGTAGTTTGGTTCGTTTATTTCCATCTAAATAATATAAAATATTTTTTTAATTTTTTTTATAGGATAGGGTGACAAACGAGCACACACTCCACCTGATGATAAGTGGTTGCTGGTAGATGTAGATGTCTATAGGCCTATAGACATCTACATCTATACTCGATAACGAATCAAAATGCAGATGCGTTGTCACCCGTGAGGACTAAGATGGAATGCCTCGTTTCCAGTAAAAAGGGTCGCCGGTTCTCTACGCTCACCATACGAAACACAGCAGCATTAAGCTACTATTTCACGCTGGTATTCTGTGAGAGCGTGGTCTTTCCCCAGTCGATCTATTTCACCTCAGTCCTAAGTGGCACGACCTTGGTGACAAAAATAGTCGTATATGATATCTCGTAACATGCATACAAAACAAAACACATCCAGTCGAATTAAGAACTATTGTTGTTTCGAAGTCGGCTAATAAATTAGGAAATATACTTAGGTAATGATCCATAATAATAATAATAATGTGTGCAATACAGGATCAGGTTATTAAGACCAACAACTATCGGAGATACATCCTAAAGGATGGCACCGTCGACGTCTGTCGAGCTTGTCGCCATCCCGGTGAGTCACTTAGGCATGTCATCTCCGGTTGTTCGGCGCTTTCTAACTCTGAGTACTTGCACAGGCACAACCTAGTAGCCAGAATTCTACACCAGTAGCTCGCTCTGAAATACGGTCTCGTGGACCGGAAATTGCCGTATTACAAGTACTTGCCGGAAGCCGTGCTCGAAAATGACCGCGCCAGGCTCTACTAGGACCGGGCCATCATCACAGACAGGACTATTCTTGCGAATAAGCCTGATATTGTGCTGATGGACCGGGCACAGTCAAGGATATTTTTGGTCGATATTACCATCCCGTATGACGAGAACCTCGTGAGAGCCGAAACAGACAAGCAATCAAAATATCTGGACCTGGCTCACGAGGTGACCGACATGTGGGGTGGTCTGCCGGCCGAAATTATTCCTGTAGTCGTCTCTGCGAATGGGCTAATCCCAGTTAGCCTCTCCGGTCATCTGAGGCGACTGGGACTCCGTGACGGACCGCTCCGGGCTCAAATGCAGAAGGCGGTGCTCCTTGATACTGCCCGCATCGTCCGCCGGTTTCTTTCCCTTTCCCCCTAACCCTCGGCCGTTTGGTCTCCCCTGCCGAGGGCTTCCATCTGGTTGGGCTTTTATTTATTTATGTATTTTTTATTTATTTTATTTTATTGATATTTATGTATATTTATCTTTTCATTTTCGTTTATAATTATATATTTATACATCCCAACCAGATGAGAAAACTATATAGATATTC